GTTCACTTCCCCCACCCTTCCGCAGCGCCAAATCAAGCGACCCACTGATTTTTAACAATATTTCTTATGCACTTAACATGCTTCCACAAATAACATATTTTTATCTGGGAAAGTACTCGGATTATGACAGTATTTTTTTTGCCACTACCAACCTAATTTGTTTAATAGGCCGTCAACATTGACAGTCTGTAACTCCGTTGTTTTTCAACGAATCTTGACGATTTTTTTTTAACTTAAAGCTTTTTTCATAAGCTTTCCGAATATGTAATAATATATAACTAGGGTAAGTCGGGGGATGATGGCCAGCCCAAAATATTTTTTTAGATAGTATGATTTATATTGCACTAAATAAAAAAGCAATTACGTATATACGTTGGGTAATTACTTATACATCAGTAGCGGGGTGGAGAATTTGTTTGCTTGAATGGTATATACGTAATTTGAAAAAAATAAAAACTACTGCGATTGGCCATATTCCCCCCAAGGTAAGGGAAAGATAGCCATAAGACTTCGGGTGATTTAGCCATATTACAAAAACTTATTTAAATAAGATTTTTATTATCAAATCATATAAATAAAACAAAAATACAATAAAATAACACAAATTCATGTAANATTATGAAATCTACCACGAAAAAAATCAGTGCGATTGTGGAAGATGCTCGGGACCGTCCAGACTAATAATTAGTTAATTTGTTTATGAGGCCATAACTTGTAAATTATTCAACTTGCCGATTCCAGATTTCGTGTGAGTTATTAGACAGTGATAAGGAATGAGAGGATGCGATGCCAAAACGTTCTGGTAATAATAACGCAGATTATAAATGTTTAATTCAAAAGTCATAAATAAACTTCTTTTGTTTATAACTTTTGATCTAATCAATATTTTTTGACGCTCTTGGGCTAGTTTTGTAGGTCTTTTGAAGACGAAGAAAAATGTACTTTAATGTTTTCTCGTGGAAATGAACGGAAAAAAGTTATAAATGAAAAACGTGAATTTACGAAAAAATTATACCACCCTGTAAAATTGTTTACAGGGTGGTTAATGGTTCGGTTCCCCCCATTTTTATGACTGTGGAAACTAATATATTATTGTACATAATATTTAGCATCTGCCACCTACAGTGATAAATTCAGCTTGCCGAAGCAAAAAGTCGCGTCCAACTCTATATTTCTCGGCCTAAAATATCATCTTTCGTAGCAGCAGATATGAAATTTTAAACTCTATTACAATATAAATAACACAATACTATATACACTATATTGGAAATTAATCTAGGTCTAGAGGGTGCCAACGTTATTCTAAACAAAATTAAAATGTCGGTCTTTATGGGACTATCATAAATCGACAATTAGTTGCTCACGTTTAAAACAGAAAATAAGGAAAATTAATCAACGAAATTGACTTTTTACGTGTATTTTAATATAATTAATTAGCCGTTTTTATAGAAAATAAAGATATGCTTAAAATGTCTATACTTATTTATAAAAATTTTATGTAAAATTGCACACTAGATTTATTATTATGACGACAAAGTAGGTAACGTAAAATTACATCATGCAAGTAAAGTTACATTGAGCATGTAATTTTACATTTTTTGTATAACTCACCCCTTATGTAAATTTACATTATCGATATTTACGACATCCAAAGTGTAATTTAACTACTAATTGTAAGAAACGGGAAAACTATATGATATTTTTAAGAACAAAAGAAAATCTAGGCATTATTATTTTGTAATTTGGAAAGAATATCTTTTTTTATATACTTCAATATTTTTCTAAGACAGGTTAGGACCTGTATTTTGTTCGTAGTTATTCGCTGTAGTTGAAAATGCTAGATGTTATTTATCGCTATTTATAATAGTTCAAGTGTTAATGTTTAAAATATTTTCTAGCGTTCTTAAAGATAAACTATGAAATGCATCTTTATAGTGCTGTGTTGACGATGTATACACCGGGTATTTCACTTAGAAACTATAAAAACTCTGGAGGTGACTTCACGGACAAGAACTGTCCTAATAAATAAATAATCCACATTTTTCAACAGGTTTTTTTTCAATAGGTTAGTCGATTGTTAACCTCTTTGTCAAAGTCAAAAGGTTGTGTATTTCGCTATTAGCTGCTTAAGGGTTCTCGACCTCAATAAAAAGAGAATAGTTAACGTGTAATATATTGATTTGTTTATACTTGAGTAGCTTATTTTTGTTAAACTTAACAACCCACGGCTGAGGAATTTTTAAATGTGAAAATAAAACGCGACAGGTAGCAAAATTATGCGACAAACAAGAAACTCGTGGAATTGTTTCTTATACATTTTTTATGTCTCAAAGAATAAAATGTCTATCTATCTATCTTGTTTTCTGCGCATTATTTTCTAGTTTATTGTTAATGCATTATTCAGTGAAAGAGCGATTTTTATTAAATTTGTCACAGATTAATTTCATTTATTTATTTATTACCATCATTAAACATTAATGACATATTTTTTGAACAAATAAACAAAGCAATTTCTATTAGGTATCGTGATTTTATGAGCAATATCAATATCATTTAATATGATAAATGAGATGATATGATTTTATAAACTGCATAGCTAGATTTTACATTTAAATTTACACTGGAAATTTCACTTGAGCCCTGGAATCAGCAAATCAAAAAGAGAAAACACTTGATGTAGAATGAGATGAAATGCAGGCAACATGCAACATAGAAAAAGAATTATATATAAATATCCTTTTTCTATGACATGCATGCAACATGTTAAAGCTGTGTTATGGACTTCGACTTCGCTCAGCTATACTATATGTGCCACTACTTTGCCACTGTATCTCCTACCCTCAGAGTTTATCTTGACAGAAGTTCTAATAAATTTAGGACTGAATATGCTTTTTTGACGAGAGTTGTAGAAAATTTAAGCAAAGTAGAAACAATATCTCTTCACTGTAGGTAGTTGTACAAGTTTTTTCCAGGATATGACAGTTTACAAGGTGACAATATCAATTCACTACGTTTCCTGAGCTTGATACGCTTGTTGAACATACTGAAAATCGCTTATGGCACTATAAATATAGTCACAAAACTGGGAATGTACATTTTACGTTTACATGCGTGCCTATGTTTTCTGTGATCTTTCACTGCGACAAATTTAAGGAAGAAGAAATTTTCTGTTACTTAAAGCTATGAGAAAAGTCGGACAAAGGAATCACAATCGATCAAGCCCATACAGATATCAATCAAGCAAAATGCGAACAATACAACAATCAAATATATCCAAGTCGACAGTAAAAATTTATTTCACAATTAAAAAATACACGACAAATTATCTTGATATTTCCTACTTGAACAGACGTAACTGAGTCATTGATTTTGTAATAAAAGGGGTGTGTATGTGTACTCTATTTAATTCAGTGGGTGGACACTCCTGCATCGATTATAATATGTACATCCGGACATCCATTTAATTAACAAGTATATAATTATTAAGTAGGTAGGTACTCTAAAATACAATCCGTTTGTAGGTAACTTGTAAGTAGGTTGTAAAACTAAATGAATACTTTTTGGTGACAATGATTTTAGTAAATCAACTTTCAAAACTTGCGAAAACAGATTTAAGAAATGGATTTAGGAGGGTTGAAAGAGTTATTACATTTTTGACAAAACAAAATTTTTCAATATATTTTTGGTGGGCGCGCCATTAAGAAAGTTACTTTCCATTATCTATTAAATAATTAACTATAATAACTAAATCATACTTTGCTCGTACATCAGTCTTAATAAACCTGGTGTGAGCAATAATCATCGGATTTCGATGCATCGTAGGTATTTCTAGTATTTAATAATTTCAATGTGTCAATTGCCAGGCGCATATTTTTTAAACCTAAATCACATATCTAACCCCTAAATTATGTTTGTTCCTTCTAACATTTGTTATTCAGAATTGATTAGCATCAGGTTTATGCAACCCTACATACAAGTAACCAGTATACTGTTATGCATAAACTGCTATCACAAAATGAAAAGAAATGTTACTTTAGAATCGTTGTTATATGTAAATAATATAAAAAAAGCAATTCACTTGTGATTCACTGGCATTCAGAGCGAAGTAATATTAAAGATCTGGTGGATATGACAATGAAAGAATACCTACAATTTTTAAATACTTTCGTAAATTCTCACCTTTTCTGATGAGATGGCGCACAGATCAATGGAAGGTAAAACTTTAGCGACTTCCTGTATTTCGTTAATTTGTTTAAGTTTGTGGCCACTAGATGGCAGCGGTTAGGTACAGAAAATATTTTAACACGATTATTTTTTTAAATCTACTACTTAACAAAAGATGGCGGAAGGCAAAAATAACTCGGTATCCCACCTAGGGAGACTACTCCATGATCTCACCAAAGGGGATATTGATGATATCACAGATCAAGATCTGTGGATGATATTATTCATAGACCACGATATCATAGATGTCACAGCAGCATTACGTGATAGGATAAAAAAATTACAAAGATCTAAAATCTCCATTTCCATTTTCTACACAAAACAGAAAAAAGATTTTCCATTTGTTTTGAGTGTGTTACTGTGTTGCACACCAACTAAAATCTTTTCGTCCTTGTGTCTAATACTCTGCAAAACGAAAGCAGTCCAGGGTGTAGATTCTATTATATGTTTTGTGGTGTAGATCACAGAGTACCAACTAATCTGTGGTGTAGATGTTGTTGGAACAGACCTAACAGGTCTGTTCCAACAAGACTCGGGGATTGGTTCCCAACCGTTCGAAATGTTTGGCCAGCTAAGTTCTAAATGTGTCTTCACTGAATATATCGCAAGAATTAGTTGGATGCACATTTCAAACAGTTCGGAACCAATTCCTGACTCATGTTGGAACAGACCAGTTGTCTACTGTTTAAATATCTAGGAACTTTACAGGGCAGGGACTTTACCATAGATAAGAGAGATAACTAGACTGTCGACTTTACGTTTTAGTGGTATGGTAGACGGTAGTTCCACTCTACGACGTCCTATGCAAACTCCTATGCAAAAAATGTAAATAAAGGTAAAAGAAATCCGCGCATAATTTGTTTATGAACAAGACTGTGTCTGAGAACCAGAATAATTTTTTGTTTGTTATTTGTAAAGTTCAACATATACCTCTTAAAGTGCTTTCATCCGTATATATTGCAGCTGATAACCTCTAATCCACTTTGTCATACCTATAAAAATAATATGAATCACGTTCTGCATATTAATAAGACAATTATCTTTAAGTTTTATAATTGAAATCGCAACAACGCAAGAATACGATGTCTAATCCTGGTCAGTTATTAGATAATGCTGTGGAGGCTGCCAAGAAAGCAGTTCAGTACGATGAACAGGGTGAACCGAAAATATCGGCATATTACTATGAAGCTGCTGCTCGGTTGTTGGAACAGGCAGCTATAACCGTTGGACCAGAAAGAGGTGATTCCTTCAGAGAAAAAGCACACGAGTACAAGAATCGAGCTAGCGAACTTATGAACAAGTCTCCCGTGGAGAGTAAGATTGTGGAAAATGACACTAGTAATACTAAATTGAAACAGTGTTACTTTTTGCTGCAACAGGCCATAGACGAAGATGAGCAGGGAGATAAGGAAGATGCTGTCGAACTGTATACCAAAGCGATCGAGTATATTACACAGTTTCCGGACTTGATGCAAGGCGATTTGAAGACTCTTACTTTGCAAGCTTTGGATAGAGCAGAACAATTGAAAGGTACAGTCTGTTTAGAATTATTTTTCTTTTTATTTACATGGTGTCAAAAAAATAGTCTCGTCATATTAGTATCTTTTTATTGGAAACATACTTAGTTTTTTAAATAAAATAAAATATACTTTTTTGATAAATATTTAATTCTAAATATTTCAGAGATATTTTATGAATCGTAAAAATGTTTTTAAATTGCTTTATATCTCGAAAACTATTGATTTGTGGAACCACGTATATATAAGCTTAAAATGATACAAAGAATCACCTCTTAAAGTATGTTGACGTATGCAATTAACACCTTGTATGTATAATGTTTGTAGGCATTCGAAAAGAGCCAACTCCTACATCATCAACACCAGTTTCAAATCCTTCTACACCCACTTCACCATCTACACCACCTAACATAATACAACAAAAACCAACGACTAACGTGTCACAGAAACCAAAGGAGCTCCATAGAGGTTCCAGCGCCCATTTGAAAGTGTCCGGCCAAGACACTTACACCGAAGAAGAGAAACTGGTCCTCCTGCATACTTCTAAAATCAACAGGAGGGATTATGTGCCTTTTATGAATGTGGACCTATCAGAACGTTTTCAGTACTCCATACCGTTTACCGATAAAGATGGCCCGTTGACATTATCACCAAAACAGAAGCGAGATTTTCACAAGTTTGCTCGTCCCGAAGAGTTATGCTCCGACCCGTGCATCGTATATGGCACCGCTCCCAGTTACCTTAGTATAAAGCAAACGGTTATCTCTGATTGTTCGTTTGTCGCTAGTCTAGCCGTGAGCGCTTCTTACGAAAAACGTTTCGGGAGAAAACTAGTCACAGCGATTATTTATCCCCAGTCGAAGGACAGGAAACCCATTTATAATCCTTTTGGCAAATACATGATCAAGTTACATATCAATGGAGTAGCGAGGAAGGTTATTATAGATGATACTCTCCCGATTGACAGGTACGGGAGGTTGTTGTGCTCGTATTCCGGCAATAAGAACGAGTTTTGGATTTCTTTGTTGGAAAAGGCATATATGAAGGTTATGGGTGGATACGATTTCCCTGGAAGTAACAGTGTAAGTTCTAAGAATTAAATTTTTACTTTGTTGGTAGCTTGTAGCTTTTCAAACTTGCACAATAATCGAAATTAATAAAAATAATTTCCGGTATTTTAGAGAACACATTCTATTATCTCCGCTTAAACCTACGCCTAGTATTTTATTGATTGTTGGTTATATTTTTTAAATGAAGAAGCAAAACTATTTTCTAAAATTTGTGTGTTATAAAGTTTGGTATATTTTTTTAGAATATTGATTTACACGCCTTAACAGGTTGGATACCGGAAAGGATTGCGATAAGAGTAAAGGAATCCGATTTCAACCGAGATTCCCTCTTCAACACTCTAGAGACCCGTCTAGCTAAAGGCGACGTCTTGGTGACCGTAGCGACGGGCGAATTGTCCGAGAATGACGCGGAGAGGAGTGGATTGGTGCCGACGCATGCTTACGCCGTGATGGATGTCCAGACAGTCAAAGGCGTGAGTTAATTTATTTAAATTCACGTGAAACGTGGGTTTTTATTAAATTGTGAGTAGGAGTACTAATAATGGATTTCTAGGTCAGACTGTTGAAATTGAAGAACCCGTGGTCTCATCTCAGGTGGAGAGGGAATTATTCCGAGTTGGATACGAGGCACTGGACCCCTGAATTGCAAAATCTGTTGAATTATGATCCAAACAGTGCGGCCCAGTTCGATAACGGGGTGTTTTGGATAGACTACGACAGCGTTCTCAGTTTCTTCGATGTTTTCTATATGAACTGGAACCCTGAGCTGTTCAAGTACACTTATTGCATACATCAGTGAGTATTAATTGTTAGAAATTTTTTTTCCTTGTAGCATAGTTGAAAATAATTTTATTGCGGTTTTTCTAGTTAAGTCTGTTTCAAAATAAATAAAAAATCATGCTTTGTTGCAAAATCGCATCTTTCTTCATTCATATTTGTTTTTTCGTAATACCGTAGAATTTCACAATGAAGACACACAAATTCACCATACAGAAAAACAGGCTAGTCAAATTGTCCAAAATACTTCGTTTTTTTTTGTCAAAATTTAGTTCAGCGAACGAACTACTTTACTCCAGCTGAATGTTAGGACATTTTCAAAATTGCGTCCAAAGTTCACATAAAAAGTTTTTTTTCATTTAAAAAAAAACTAAACATTTTAGAAAAGAATGTTTTAGACAAAGGTTGTAGAACTTTTTATAACAAAAATTTTGAGCCCAGCCCGACATCAATTATTGATAAACAAATGTATTAGTTATTGCAAAAAACGTCTAAAAATCGCATTTTTTAAAACGTCTATATCTTTAAAACAAAAAATTTTTTTTTTAGGAAACTCAGATTATGTAGTCCTTGGCATGTTGAATAAGTGCATTTTTGTAAAATCGCAAAATATTTTATAGTTTTTGTAAAAATTGAGTTTTTCAAAAAAAGACTTCAATTTTCAATAAATCATATAGTAATGCACTTACGTAATTCATCTTAGGCTAAGAATTTTGTCTAAAAATTGTACTTTCCTGTACAAATTGTGTGCGTTTTGCAAAATACAGTGCAGCCTCTTTAATCCGAACACCACATTGCCAGGAATTATTCGTATTATGGAATTGTTCGGATTATCGAACATATAAAGACTTGTACATATGTATATTATGTAAGTACATACACATTTTATTATAACAAATCACATAAAGCTTAAATAAGGTAAAACATAAACATGTGGTTACATATACATATGTATTATTTTACGCTTTTTACGTTTTTTATTTTTCTTACTTCCAAAAAAACTCCAACAATTGTTACACTAAACACGACACGCAACAGGTTCTTCACTATCGCCAAACAGACTGACATTGGGCGGACAGGTGCCGACTACACGTGTACGCGCAAAGCGATCTAGTCTTTTCTTGCCTGTTAAGATTAGCGTGTGATCGGGCATTATTGCCATTTGAGAGCTGACATTTTTTCAAAAAATCGCTACAACTTCATTTATTAATGCTTGTTCCGCTCTACATGTTGATGCGCGTGGTAGGGGGAGAAAGATTTTGACACGACTTTTGTATTTGTCGATTCTACGTAATGAACTCAGCTGAGACACCTCAAGCAGAAGGTCGCGAAATTGCTTTCCAAATTATAAACATCTTGTAAGCCAATAAATTGAAAAAAATGTTTTAAATCTATCAGATTAGCAAGTATTTTTATTTTTTATTATGCACATTATTTTCATTTTTATAATTAGCAGCATCGGCCTAACCATATACCAATATTAGGTAATATTGGTACATCATATAAAAAAAATATAAATTTTTCATAAACACTGGAATTTTTCTGTTTAGGGCTTTGTGACATTGACATAAAAAAAATATAACGACTTTTTACAAAATTATTTTATTTTGCCCTAAACTTAAAGTTACACCTCTGAAATAAACGTCGACATTTACAGCAGTTCAGCAGCATTGTTATTTTTTTTTGCTAGTAAAATTTCAGTTGACGAAAACAATTATCGCAACGTTAATTGTAAATTATCAACATTCCAAAATAATACCGTTGTTGACCCCGGAAAAATAGCCTATAACTAGCGTGATCACTTTTCCTTGCCACAGGCAATTTTTTAACAGTCTATACTTAAAAAATACATCTCGTAATAGCGTCTACAGGGTAAATTTTGTTTTAGATCTTGGCATGCAGGTAGAGGACCTGCGAAGGATCTTTACACGGTGGCTTCTAATCCCCAATATTCGCTCGATGTCGGTAGTAACACATCGGGTGCAGTTTGGTTGCTTCTGACGAGGCACATTACCGATATCGATGATTTCAGGGAGAATAAAGAGTACATTACTCTGTATGTGTACAAAAATGGAAAGAAGGTGTATTATCCATGTAAGACTGCTAATTAGATGAATATTTGCAATATCGTACAGGGTGTTGCGAAAATACTACTTATAAAAGTAAACTTGTATGGAATTGTTATGTTCTCTTGCTTTGAGAAAACCATTTAGTTCGACAAAAAATGTTGTCACCACATTTTCCGTTCATGTTAATCTAGTACTGTTTTGTCTTCTTTAACACTAAACTTTTTCGAAAAATTTCGAAAGAAACATTTTCTATTTTTACCTTATTTGAAAATCTTCAAATTTCAAAAAATTTCCTGAAATTCTCATCTGACGAAATTATATTAAAAATTTATTCAAATATTTTTGGCTTCACAATTTTAATAATTTATTTCGTATGCGTAGCTTGCTGCCTATAGTTTGAAACCAATCGTTTCACTGGAAAAAAAACTTTTGGCTTGTTTTTATTTAAAAAAAAAGAAATAATTCTGCTGTACCGTTATTTCTATAAGTACAACCATCCCCAAAATGTTTGCCATTATTTCAGGAACACCCTGTATGGAACGCATAAAATGTCACAGCTTTATTAGTTTAAACTTGAATTCGAGCTTGGATTTCAATTTATTTGTTTTATTTCGTTTGGATCAGACGATCCGCCCCCCTTCATCGACGGAGTGAAAATCAACAGCCCGCACTACTTGTGCAAAATCATCTTGGGCCCTGGCAGCAGTAGGAGGTACACCGTCGTCGTTTCACAATACGAGAAATCTACGACTATCTACTACACCCTGAGGGCTTACGCCACCTGCCCCTTTACTTTGACCAAAATCGTGGACCCTTACACCAAGGAAAAACAGGTTAGTTTCACTGTAACTTTGGTATTGTTTTTTTACTGGAATTGATATTGAATTCGAATTAAGTATTAAGTTTATTTTTTTTATAGTAAAATTTAATGTGGTAGAGAAGCGTTTTGTACATTGTAAGTGTATAATCTTATAAAGTTATTTATTTCAGTGTTTAATGACGGTACAGTGTATTTGAGTGTCTTTGTGGTTAAAGTTCTGAGTGATATCGTGAAAAACCGTGGTGGAATTCGTGACCTAAAAAAAAAAGCATTCTAAGGTTCTTTTCACAAACTCCCTTTAGCTAATAAGCATATTTTCGTTGAGATATTTCCGTGCTTTACCTCCTTCGTTTATTGACAAAAATTGGCCTTTTTAGAAGTACAGGCAAAAGTCTAGACAAAAGTCACCGAAAATGTTAAAATGAATGTTACGTTGGGGCGCTTTTTGTTTTAGGTTAGGACCATCTTTTTTTGTCATCGAGGGTCTGTTTCTGTCAGAGTCAGTTTTATAGTGGAAAAATTTGATTTAAAAATTCAAAATTATTGTTTAACGTCTTTGATGAAGTTGGAGATTCAATTGTGTTGTGGGTACACATGCTGCAAGTGACCCATTTTTAAGTACAACGTCAATAGCGCCATTCAGACGCCACCCAGGACGCATCAGGGTTCCAAAAAAAAAAGTTGACGGCAGAGTGGCGCCAAGGACCAGGTACTTCGGCGAGCGACTCCACACCAAGACGGACTCTCTAGCGAAAACTCGCCCCGACAACATGTCTTTTTTGCAAACTTAGTTTTCAATAAAAATACTTTATTTTTATCGTTGAGAGAGCATTTTATTTTTGCTGTACAGCGAAAGCAACCCTCAACGTCAATAGAAGAGATTTGTGGGAGGACAAACCTATTTTCACTCAAACGTTTCTAGGTCTCTAAAGGACCGCAGTTTTTTTAAATTTAACTATACCGTGTTTATTGAAGTTTTTTCAGCGAATATCTATTTAGTTTTTTAGTGATTGTTTATTTCTCTGGTTTATATGCTTTTTTTTGTTTTAGATAACGGGGGAGTGGAAAGGTACCACGGCCGGTGGCTGTCCCAACCACCCGTCCACGTACCCCAACAATCCTAAATTCAAGGTGGATATCGAGTCGTCCTCGAATAACAACCAGTTGCTCATAGAACTGAAGGGTCCAAAGCAATACCAGCTGGGTGTGGAGGCTACCATACTGCAAGTTAATGACGAGACTGTCACCGCTCCTTTTAGATCCAAGTCCTCGGGAACCTACAGGTGATAAAGTAGTACATTTACATTAATAATAGAGGGAAATTTACACGTTCGCTGTGTATGTTGTTTTTAAATATTGTAATTTGGTGATATGGAACATACATCGGTAAAAATGTTGTAAATGGTGCAACAACGAAAGTATTTTTTTGTGAACAATAGTTATAACTTTAAAAATTAACTTTAGGTCATAGGTGCTTTGGTACTTTTTTCACATTTAGTTGTGACAGTCAAATTAAACTTAGACTTAGATTAGATTTTTTAACAAAACTGTTTTTTATAAATTGTAAAAAAATTATCATATGGGTCGTTCCATGTCAAATCGACCAATGGTTGGAATCGATTCCTTTCAATTAAAAAAATTTTTGTTGAAAGTTATTCAAAATTCAAAATTTCACTATTTTTCCAATTTTTCAAGTTTATTTTTTAAATATCTCGAAAACTATTATAGTTACAGAAATGTGCTTGTGTTTGTTTTAGAGAGGAGGAGGAGAGGCTATGAAAAAAAATATATATTCCGAAAAATAATTTCGAAAAACGAAAAATTTGTAGAATTTTGAATTTTTAAAAATCGTCAAAATCGACTATCGACATTAAATTTTTGGCTCAATTTTTTTATAAAATACCTTCAAATGATCTTAAAAGGTCCTGAAATTTTCAGTTGCGTTTTTTTTTTCAAAAATATGAATTCTTGAATTTTGGCAAAGAAAAGTTTTTTTTAACGCAACTCAAAAAAAGATGAATATTTGAAAAAAATTGCTTTTTTTAAATAACTTCAAAAATTGAGTTATCAGGACGTTTTTTTTCAAAATTTTTGTTTTTAAATGTACTTTTTGAGAAAAAAAATACATCAAAATTATTTGGACCTATATTCACTTTTTTTTTTGATTTTTGAAAAGAAATGAAAATTTCACAATTATTATTTTTGAATTGAAATTTTTTATAAATTCTCAAATTTTTTCGGTTTTTTTTTTCAATTTTTTTTATTGATTGAAAAAAAAATTTATTTTAGTTTAGCTTATTTCACATACTATTTTGAAAATTTTTGAAAATGTATATATGTAGAATCCCAAAATTGAAAAAAATTGTTATATGCAGCGATTGATGACAATTTCAAAAAGTCAAAAGCAGATGGTCTCAAAATGATTTATTTGAGTTCAAATGCGTTGGATGTATTTTTTGAAGCCCACTGTTCATCCAAAAATTGACCAAATAACAACTTTTTTTCATTTTATTTGTTTTTGGATGTAGTTTTTCAAAAAAATTACAAAAAAATTATTCAAAACGATCTTCTATTTTTTCTTTAAAAAAAAAAATTGAAATTTTTTTCATGTTTACCACTTTCCATTATTTCTTTCATATATATTTTTTTCAATTTTGGGATTCTATATACATTTTCATAAATTTTCAAAATGGTATTATGTGAAATAAGCTAAATTTTTTTTTCAATCAGTAAAAAAAAAATTGAAAATGATTAATTAATAAATTAATTAATAATTGACGTCTCAGGATTTTTTAAAGGAAACTCTTGCTGTTTCAATGTACCTTACTGTGGTTAATCTGTAAAATCCCATTTTGGTTTTAGGTCAGGCTACGTCGTTCTGGAACTGGAGAACATTCCTTCGGGAACGCTGAGGTTGATTCCGTCCACTTTTCTACCGAATCAAGAGGGGCCCTTTATTTTGGTTGTGAAATCTTCGGCGCCTATCGAAATTTCCAGCATATAAGACATTATTCTATATATTTTTTAGTTACCGCTTAGCTGTGATGGTCTAACATGTAGACAGAGTGGATATATTTTGTTGATTATATAGTATATTTTATCGTTAAGTTATATTCCGGCATTTTATATATCTAATATAGCTACAAGCTTTACTTCTAAAAGTGAGCACCCATTTTACAGAACTTTGTAGATCTTGCCTTGTAACATTTGTTATTATTAATAATAAATGTATTCTTTAGATTGTTTGTACTTTTTTTTAATTCAGTTTGATAGTTTTTTGTGTAATTTACGAAGCCGCTTGTTCAAAAGCAGCAAATTACACATTTCTTTACACCAAAAAGTAATTTGAGTTTCAAATTAAGTCGATTTTAATTTTATAGAAAATCTGCGGTAGAATGGAGGAAACTCTGTTATTTGTGCATTATAGAGCCATTTTAATCTAATAATTATATATTAGTCGGTGCTACCATCTCTTTGGTAAAAGCTTAATCCAAAGAGGGAACTCAAATAATAGTTCACTAGTTTATCATAATGCAACTTTTGACCAGTAGATGCCGCATTATGTGAAACGTCAAATTATAACTTTGAACAGTAGATGGCGCAGTACGTTAAATGTAAAATACATTATAGTTGTCTAGTTAAAAAATAATCGCTCATACCTTGTTGCGGCATCCAAGCAGTAGATGGCGATACATCTAACTTTGGTTATTTGGCAAAGATTGCATTCCAATTAATTCAACGAGTGAAATAATGTTTTCAATTAAATATTTCGAAGTTTGACAAAAGTAAAACGAAATATTTCGAAAACCCGAGCAACCATAAACAAACTGATGTCAGTTTTGAAACTTGCCTTCATAGTCACCAGAGCTGTTCTTGTCAATGTTATTTTTTTTTCAGATTTTTTGAGGCCCAAAGTTTTCCGAAAAATTAAATTCAATAATTCAAGTCGGCTCTTTACGTAATATGGGCGGAATGGTTAGTTCTTAAATTTTTTCTGATTTTTCTGAAAACATCTTTTGTTTTCTGCTAGATGTGGTGTACACGAATCTAGAAAAATCGTTAAATCTATAAAACTGGAAAAGCTGATTTATAAGAATAGTTCATGATTCCGAAATACTACTATAGGTCGCTTTATAAATTTTCTTTTTTAATTTGATTGAAATTAATCTTCCCATAGACAAATTAGTAGAATGCGCCATCTGTAAGCTAAGACTCTAATTAACTTCTAGTTATAAATTGAGTTATTACAGTTATCTTAACGGCGTGGTGGAGAGCGCCATCTATTTATTAAAATTATATTTAATTCATAGAGCCTGCCCTCTACCCAGAAATTGTCGAACTTTGGTGATCAAAATGTATTAGCTACCTACCTCGTTTAAGAATGCCCTGCAGTTTATTATGACTTTTAAGCAGTAGATGGCACGGCATTTAAAATTAATTCCGTACTTGTGGCTTTATATTATGTAAAAAAAAAACTGAAGAGCGATTATCTTCAAAAATGTATGCTATATTTTACTAATGAATTGTGTTAGCCGTCACTATCTTTTATAAGACAAAGAAATGAAAACCAACAGAAACATTGGACTAGATTAAACGTAGGTTATAACTTATAAGTTAAATATCTAAATTAGATAATATTATTTTTGGATAATAAATAATGAATAGCAATTCTTCTTTTTAAAATAAACAGCCACATTTTATGTATATTAACAAATATATTATTATGCTACTTTGTGTATTGTAAATACCATTAATTAAAATGCGGATATAACAAATGACACTTACAATATAAACTTAAATATATGTATAGTCTCTCCGATCTCAATTGAAGAACCAAGAGGTTGGCAGTATGTACCAGGTTCGGTCGCTGACGCAGCAACTAGGCATTGAAATATTTGAAAAACTTGTTCCCATATTTATTTAACCATAGGTCTAAGGTAAGGTCTATTTAACCATACAGGTCTAGGCGAACTAAACGTGGAGGTGGTAGAAATAAGGTATACGCCCAGTTGAAGAATGCGCGCGCGGGTAAACGGCGCATAACACAGCGGCACTGGGCGACTGGGCAATAAATCTCAGTTGTTGACAAGTGGTTGACAAATTGCCTAGCAGTGCAGTGCAGCAATACGGAATTTGGTGTGATTCAGGTAATTTTAATTTATTATAGGCACCTTCTATTAATCATTTATATTACAATTGCGAAAGGGATAAATAAGAGGGATATTGTGTTTACTAATATTATTACAACATGGCATTAGGAGACCTTTTGAAACGGAACAAAATGAAATTTACCATCAGTACAATAAAATTGTTTAAAGACATAAATAATTCAAATATGAAAAGAACATATAGGTAATAGGAATTTTCTAAATATAATATACAAATTTTTTACCTTTAACAGAAAACTTTTTTAGGGACGCCTATAAACTTCATTAAATTTTATTGCTAGACTTTTTTATACATGTTCAACTGACTTCGGAAAGACTATACTTATGATCACTTTTTGGGTCTAACAAACTAACGAGTTTATTATTTACAAATTTGTCTAATATTTTTAATTCTTCTGGAGTAGAAGCCTCTGAAAGTGAAGAGTCTTTTGCAGGAGAAAGGAATGAATGGAATATTCCAACTGTTTCCTTAAGTCATTACTGAATTTTTGCTGACATTGCATTCAACGTACGTAAAACTGTGTCGAAAATGTATTCAATGTTATTAGGTTCATTGTTATGTACTGTTCTGTATTGTTATTTCAAAATCTAATCCTAAAAAAAGGTCACACAATCAGCAACTTATAGATATAAAATTTCAAAACTTAATTCTAAAAAAAAAGACCTAAACACTGTTTAGTTTCCCAGATTTTACTGGGGTCCTTCGACCTCATGAGGCCCTAAGTTTTTATTTATCAGTTCGGAACTTTTTTTTTTATATTTACTAATAGATATTGGAGCGGCCGATAATATTCGGCCAGAGTGCATAATTTGGAAATACATCCGTGGTTCGCATGCGTATGTTAAGATTATATTGAGTCGAGTAAAGTTTGTCTTATTCAAAACAACAAACTGACATTTTACTGAATAATAAAGATCAAACGCGTTTTCAGGGCTGTTGGACATGGAAAAAACAAAATAATTCACATCAAAGAGTTCAAAATACCTTTTTAAACTATATAGGCAACATAAATTGCCTCAAACTAAACAACAAGTACAGTCCGTAAAACATTTCTTCGTATGGACTGTAAAAACACATTTTACTATAAGCTGATGCGTAGGTAGTTATTAATTAAAAATCAAATCAAAATGTATGTAAACATCAAATATCCATGAGAATAAGAAGAATTTGGGACACATTATGCAGCAACAACACAAAGATTTATTAAAAACAATGCTGGCGTGAAATTGTAGGACAGGCGGGTTAAAAAACTTCAGCGACGACTCACTGGTAACAAAACTTAATTAGAGCCGTTTTGTGCTCAAAGAGAGACCCCTTTTCGGAGGCATCGTCGGTGATAAACATAAATTTGCTTAAACTTATCAGATACATTATTAAAGCTTGGCGTAAACATGCAAAAGAAGGTGACCCAGTTATGAATTCTCGCAAGCAATTAGAGTCTCGAGGTGTTCAAATGTAATTTTTAATTCTTTCCGCCTTTAGCGCGCAAATCAAAATCATCGAGATGAACATTTAGAGTTTGAATACCTTTGAATGTCATTATGTAGTCTAGCAACATGTTAGAATACGTAATAACGTTCCATATCACAATGGCGGCGGTTTCCTTTGATTTTTAGTTCTTGAAATCAGAATAATTTTTGTTTTTAAGGATAATTACATTTTGTCTTTAGATATGACAAGCATCAAATGCTAGTAAATAAGAAATTTTACACTTGTTGAGATAGAATTCCAAGAAGACCCCTGCGCCATTTTCTTGGAATTAACCGCATTTGACACCAGAGGTAGAAGATATTGGCGGCGTGGCGTTCATCGTTCATCCTATTGGAACGATATGAATTCAAGTTAAAAACAACGTACCAAAAAAAATGATTTATTTAAATTCTGTCAACAAATATCGTACGTAGGTAAAATATTTTTTGTGCTTCTTCTTATTTGCTATTAACGCAGTTAAGCGTTTTGACTCTATACTATATTTTAAAAAATGTTTTTTTGTTGGTTTCATTCTATAAAAATGTTTTTTAATATATTCTATTAGAATTAAGTGAATTTATAAAGGTAAGGGTTCATGAAATGATGATGATACTGGGTAAACTCGGCCAGATTAGATAAAGTTGAAAGATTCGGAAAAAAAAACATGCTGATTTGGTGATACGTACGACTTTAAGTTATCTGATATTTGTTTATACAGACACATCTCAAAGACCTTTGCAATGTTAGACAATATGGCAATAGGGCAATAATTTCTTACATCCGCAGGGTTACCGCTTTTTAAAATTGGACACACTCTTGTAAGTTTCCATCTATCAGGAAATTCGCAATTTAATAAAGCAATATTGACTAAAGTAAGAAGCGGAGTGCATAGAACACGTCATTTTGTTTTTTAGTTTACAGATTGCTAGAAGGACATTAGATTCCGTAAGCTGTTGTATGTTAATGCAGGATTGATAATAATTTAATGACATATTTGGATTTTGAACATTTTCGATGGAAAAAACGCTGGCAAAGAATTTAGAAAAAGTGTCAACAATTTGGACGGGATCATCAAATTCTTGATTATCGAGAAAAACATTTTTTGGTATAAGCGTGTGGCCTTTCTTATTCTGTACAAAGGACCAAAACCTTTTAGGGTCACTTTTAATATTCGCTTGGCAGTCAACAAAATAATTATTGTAAGCCAAATGTAATTGATTTTTTATTAAGCGTCTCAAATGTCTAAACTCATTTAAATGAAAGATTAATAAATAACACGAAAACAAACAATAATTCAGTTCCCTATAACTTTCCCAAAATAATATAAATAAAAGTATTTTTTAGTCAAATTTCAACATAAAAGCAAACTGAAAAGGCAAACTTGAGAAAAAATACATTATTTTGCAATTTCATTTAAAGAAAGATCAATAATTGCCGCTTAAAGTTTGCATCTTAACTTAACACATATTTTTATTAGTAAACACAGTTGCTACAACGTTGTGTATCCTCAATTTGAAAAGTTTATTTTTCTGAATTTCTCTTCACCAGAATATATTAAACAAAGGGGTTATCCTTAAATTTTTTAAATAGAAATTGTAT